ACTGAGGCGGGTACGGTACGGAGCGGGTTCAGCTAAGTATGGAGAGGACTGAGGCCGGTATGGAGCGGGCTGAGGTTGTTACGGTACGGAGCGGGTTCAGCCAAGTACGGAGCGGGCTGAGGTGGGTACGGAGCGGGTTCAGCTAAGTACGGAGAGGGCTGAGGCGGGTACGGTACGGAGCGGGTTCAGCTAAGTACGGAGAGGGCTGAGGCGGGTACGGAGTGAGCTGAGATGGGTACGGTACGGAGCGGGTTCAGCTAAGTACGGAGAGGGCTTAGACGGGTACGGAACGGGTTCAGACACATACAGAGCATGCTGTGGTGGGTACGGAGTAGATTCAGCTAAGTACGTAGCGAGCTGAGGCGGGTATGAATTGTGTGATTTGTGTATCCAGCCAGTCAGCGTCTTCTGGAGGTTCTGCGCTGACGTGAACTAAGTTCAAAGAAGCTACGTAGCTACAAACTTTTCCAAGCTTGTTTCTGCATATTTCATTGCATACCGAGGAATATTTGACGTTGTGGATTTATCACAGAAGTTTACGGTTGTGTGACGTCAAACAAAGGTGGAAAGCTAATCCCACGACTTGTAGCCATTTTTATCGTGCTAAGTGTTAGCAAACAGTGATCGGTGTAAATCTGGATGGTCAAAGGAAAAGTTTAAAAGTACCAAGAGCAGCTATGGTGTATGGTCTGGAGACGGAGACATGGACAAAAAGACAAGAGACAGAACTGGAAGTAGAAATTAAGATGTTGAGGTTCTTCTGAGGAGTGACAAGAATGAAGAAGATCAGGAATGAGATGATCAGAGGTACAGCACAGGTTGAACAACTGGGAGATAAAGTTAGAGAGGACACACTGAGATGGTTTGGACTAGGAATACGCGATATAAACGGTACACGGTGTAAACGATAGACATTTAGCCTATGATGGAGATCTGTCTTCTGCCGGCTAACCGCAGTAATGCTGTGTCTCGTAAAATCAGAGCTGTCAGATTTAACGTCACGTTTTTTTGAGTTGAAAACTGTGTAAATGGTGTTAAAGTATTTTTTCTTCAAGAGCCAGGTAGCAAAGCTACAAGCTAACTACGGCCGGCTTGCCGTACTGTTGCCGTATTCAGACGCATGCGCAAAACGCTGTGTTCCGTCGAAAGTTAAGTAAGCGTTGGTCAGCTTTAGAGAAACCTGCTCTCTGATCTGTAAAAGAACGCTGTGTTGTGTGATTTTACTGCGAGACCCTCTGGTCAAAGCCACAGAGGAAACTGGTCACCATTTTGTGTCAGCTCTCCTTAAACTGGAAGGAGGCGCCCACTAGAGGGTTGGAGGGTGAAGTGTTTCAGTTGCTGCTCTGTTGCTGTTCATTTCTTCAGTGAGACTGGAAACTGTTGAGTTAACATGTTCTTTTGTTTAAAACATATGGCTCAAACTAAGTTTGATATCTTTTGCACTGTTTTGCACTACAAGAAAGAAGCCCAATACTTGATTTGTTTATTATTTAAAAACTCTCTGAACCTAGTAATGGAATTTTCTTGATTGAGATTTTTTTGTGGTATAGCAGTTTTCAAAATAAATGATGGCAAAAGGACACCCTATGCATTTTTTTTCATTCCTATTGAGAGTTTTATACCAAAAACATCATGATATATATCGTTATCGCCACCCTTCACAATACATACGGTGATATGAATTTTATGCCATATCTATCCTAATGCATGCTCAATAATACAGGTAGAAAAATCTTAAAAAGTTAAATCTGGTCCTCTGGAGGCCGAGGTTAGCTCCCCCTGGGTTACATTTCCTCGTGGGCGAAGCGATCTCACCGTTCATGTAAAATATTTGATGATGTTCTTATAGAAACAATTCCTGAATGTTGTTCATACTGTGTTAATGCTGCTTGTTTGTCTCTTGACCCTACAAATGGGTAAGCTTACAGTAGACCTCGCCCACTACTGGAGTTTTAATTAAGTATTTTAATCTACTAATAAACGTGATGGATGATGATCATATTGCTTTATGCTAGGCCATTGGTAATAAGGAGTGATTATTATAATTGTTTCATATTGGATGGTGATTTTTTTACCACCTAAAACTTAACTTAGGCTACACTGTGTTTCTTAGACTCTGATTAGGATGCTGAGAGAAGTGGAGCGTGTTCTATTCACACAAGGAGAGCTGTTGGTCAGGTTACTTCTTGTTGTGCTATTAACTCTAAAATAGTTATTGAATCAAGTGTTTACTTGTGTGGGTAAAACTAGATGTTAAACAACCCGTTAAAATACACCAGAATGCAGGAAATGGCATCTACTTAATTCAAAATTTTCTGGAGGAGGACCCCTAGACCCCCCCACCCCCCCCCCCCCCCCCCAACATTACAAACATGCTTCTGACACCAATGGCCACCATGTTGCTAAACGTCTTCCAGAGCAGGACTCTCACGTATAACATACTACACATCATCATGAACAACAAGATTATTGTCTTTTTCATGTGAAGTGGTTCAAATCACTTCTGTTAGTCAACGACTGGAAACTGCTGCTGTAATTTGATTCTTTTAATCAGCCTTGCTATGATCCCAGGGTCTGAACAGGTGTGATACTGGTGTGTGACCACAGCGTGCACGTCTGATGTTGCTCACAGTGGTCCTCGGTGCGTTTGCCCAGTCACATGCACAATTAGAGGGAACGTTGGTTATACCTTCAAAATGAACACAATAACTATCGAAGCATAATCTCTGGACAGAACAGTGTCAAACATCTACGCAACTGAAATTATTTTAAAATTATTTACCGGTAAATATTAACAAGAAGTCTTATCGAGGTCATGTGACCGGAAGTCAAATCGTACCGGTAGAATGCGGTAAATATTCATTAAATTTGTACCATTGGTTTTTACTGGGCACAGCACGGTGGCACAACTGGTAGAGCTGCTGCCTCTCAGCAAGAAGGTTGCCGGATCAAATCCTGGTCCGGGGGCCTTTCTGGGTGGAGTCTGCATGTTCTCTCTGTGCTGCGTGGGTTTTCTCCGGGTGCTCCGGTTTCCTCCCACAGACCAAAAACATGCATGTTAGGCTGATTGGTAACTCTAAATTGTCTCTAGGTGTGAGTCTCCTTCGCTCTGTTTAATGCCCCTGTTTAAGTTTAAATGAGATACTGGTATTTAAACACATTTACCGTGCACAGAATGATTTTTTAAACCTTTTATTTAAACATGTAGCAGACTTGACTGCGTTGCGTCTCCGACCATCAACATGTTGATGCAGCTTACGAGCTGCAGCCGTTTCCTCCTCGACAGCCGATCGATCGCTCTTCACATGAAAGCTGCGTCAGAAGAAGTTCTCCGTGCGTTTTCCATGATCGCTGAACAAATGAACACGTCTGTGCATGAAGCGCAACATACGGTACAGCACAGGAACGAGCTGAAGACATTAATTCACGTCTACCTTGGGGGACGGTCCTCGAGTACCTCGTTGGTTGTTCAGGTTAGACTTTGGTCACGTGATGACAGAGTGGGTGGAGTTATGGTTGGGTGTTTGAAACCGTGAGCAAGAGCCGTTGTGCATCTGGTTACCTGAGGGCGTTCTCTCTATGTCTCAAACGTCCGTCCCCATGAGGACGGGGTACTGGGAGCTATGAGCGCCCAGCTCTGTCAAAGGAAATGTTAATCAGTCGCAGGAAGCTACTGAGAGACGGCAGGAAGGCCTTCAGAATAAAATATAAGTTTTGAAACGACGCTCCTGCATATAAACCGCGGGGGCAGTTAGGGTACATAGAGACCTGTAGCTGATGTCTTTGCCACGTGCCTGTGGTAGGGAGGTATGACTTGACCTGGAGTTGCTTCAGACCAGGACTGGGGACCCCCACATTCACACTATCCCATCCACCTCAGTGGTTTCAGTGTGAAACTGGATGTGTCCCCCCCTCCCAGAGTCCTGTCAGAGGTAAAGAAAATGCTCTGCAGGATCTTAGCAACTCCAGCAGAGCAAAGGCATCCTGACTCCAGGGTCCAATGGGCTCACATTTCCTCCCAGAACCCCGCTGGGCGTCCGCACACACACTCAGGGACACCCCCAGGCTTTGTCCGGGTGCTGTGGGCCGTGGTCTCTGCGCTGCCTCCCCACTCTGTCTCTAGACTGGGACAGGAAGGAAAACCCCCGGGACATTCCGTGATGCTAGGCGCCATCATCAGACCCACACACTGGTATCCAGGAAGAGACTTAATGAGATTCTGTCCCCCCACCGGTGGGAACCTCCATTTTGTCTCCGTGACGTTGTCAACATGCGTGTGATTTGAGTCGGACTGAACCCTGAACGCACCACGCCTACAGTCCTCCTCGGGTTCTACAAACACTGTAAACATGTCAACAGAGTTACAAAGACCCTCCCCTACTGCAGTTTTTGTTCCCCCCCCCCCCCCCCCAAACGCAGGAGGGGGACAGCTCTATATCAATTCCCCGGAACGGTCCACCCCCACCCAGTCCCAGACTAATCCCTGGTGTTTGAATAAGGTGTTGTTTACATGGAGGGATTAGAGCAGAGATTAGAGCATCAGAGACACGGATTAAACACATCAGCAGTCAATGATACTCGACTGGAGGACAAAACCTCTTCTGGTGTCTTATTTTAGACTCCGAGGACAGGCTCTGGACCCAGGTACCAGCCGCATCCTTCGTAGGTTAGGTCTAAGGCTCCATCACCTTCATTTATCCTTTATTTATACAGGTAGTCTCATTGAGCCATGAGAACTCATTTTCAAGAGAGACCTGTTTAGGAGCAGATGGGGGCCTTGCTCATGGGCCCAGGGTGGGGCGAATGAGGGTGGGGGCAGGTGTGGGTGCTTCACCTACCCTACCCACATTTTTTTATGTTGTCGGTACCGGGGCTTGAACCGGCGATCTTCCGATCACAGGCCCACCTTCTCTAACCTCTGCGCCACCACTCCCCCAGTACTCTCTGTACTCCACAGATCCGTGTCCTTGTCTCTCATGTCCGTGGATTTTGTCTTTCAGGGAAGAGCGGGAGCGCTGGATCCGGGCCAAGTATGAGCAGCGCCTGTTCCTGGCCTCGCTGCCGGCCTCCGACCTGTCTCTGGGCCAGCGGCTGGTGAGGGCGACGGCTGAGGAAGACCTGCGCTCCATCGTCCTGCTGCTGGCCCACGGCTCCCGGCATCAGGTCAACGAGACGTACGGGGACGGCTGCAATGCCCTGCACCTGGCCGGCCACAAGGGACACGTGGTGATCGCTCAGCTCCTCGTCTGGGTAAGGTGTCCTCCTGGGGGGGTCTGTCAGTCTGGGTAAGGTGTCCTCCTGTAGGAGTCTGTCAGTCTGGGTAAGGTGTCCT